ATATGGAGTTCCAGCGCTCGTTGGGTCGTGGGCTCCATTTCCCTGATTTTCCCCGGCCGCCAGTGCCTCCACTTCAGAAGCTCCGGTTGTTGGAGTGGGGGTGGGTCATCTCGTGAGAACCACCTCAGTTGGTCCTGTCGGTCCCTTCATTCTCCAGCGGGGAAAAGTTCTCGCTCGGCTTGCCATCCGCAGTTGCCATGAGGAGGAACCATAGGCTATCCCATAGGTCGGCCAGGTCCGCCGCGGACAGAGGCTGGGGAAGCCTGCCCGCCGCCGACGCCACCAGGCCGTTGAAGTAGTCGGTCGGAAGCACTTGGTCGTCTTGCCCCACCGGAATGCCCGAGAGTTCCAGGAGCTGGGCGAAACGGGCTACCGGCTCCCCGCCCAGCTTCTTCCCCTCCTCCTCCGTGCCATGGCGCAGGCACATCAGGACCAACAGCTCCCCGTCCGGGGAGAAGGACTCATCCGCCAATGTGTCCCATAGGACCCTTGGAATGCGGTCCCAAAGACGTGTGTAAGGCGGGCGCAAAAGAAACTTGGTAGAAACCCTAGCCATGAGGAAAAAGGGGGGGTTCGAGCCTCCTATCGAACAGCCGGGACCCAACCGCGGCACAATGCATGCATGCTCCAAACGCGCAGAATGCCGAGTGCAGATGGAGCAGGCAGGCCACACGCAGCCCGACAGGACCAAAAGTCCACCCCCGGAAATCCCCAAAAGCACGGAGGGGGGAGACCCCAAAAACCCCAAGGGGACCTCAGGGAAACCAAGCGTCAGCCGCAGCCACTTTTTCCGAGCCGTGGCTGATATGGCCCGTCCTTGGGGCAGCCACTGCATGTGGCCTCCAGATCGAGGCAATCCGGCTGTCGTGGCGTGTTGAACAGGGGGGAAACAATGGTTAAAGATGAACCCAAAAAGGAGACACCCTTACTCCTCCCCCCACCCGAGACGGGGCCAAAGGCACCCAAGTCCCGGCGGGAAGAGATCACCCGACTCCCCATCCAAAGGGGCTGTGAGACACGACCTAGCGGCTCTCACCCTTCAAGATCGCCTCCTTTGCCACCGCGTGGATGGCCGCCAGCCCCGACTTCTCCGGGTTGCTCAAAATGACCGTCCACAAGGCCGTGGAGACATCCCCCAGGCCATTCGAGGAGCTGAAGCGCATGCGGGGGGTGCTCGCGTCGCCCAGGACCAGCCGCTCGTCCCTGGGAGGCTCCGTCGGCTCCACCCTCTTGTAGAACTCCATCCTGTCGCGGATCCACTGATTGTAGAGCTGCTCCGGGGGCTCGTCCATCACCAGCTGCAAGCATGTGGCCTTGTCTTTGTGCCACCCCGTGATCTGGAGCAGCCTGCTCCCCCCGCGGCTCGCCCTCCAGAAGCCCTTGCAAAATCTGCACATATAGCCCCCGGTGGTCTTGAACTTCTCCTTGCCCACCACTTCCCAGGCGCTGATGCTGGGCAAGACCAAGCCACACTCCACGGAGGCCCAGAACACATGCTTCGTCTCCTTGGGGAAGTGCTTGTTGATGTACTTCCGGCCCGCGACCGCCGTGACCGTGGCCGTGGTGATGGGCGGGTACCGCCTGGTGCCCTGGTCTGGTGTGCGGAGCGTGGTGTCCGCCCCCCCCAGAACCTTGGCCTTGGGGTCCGCCTCCTTGGCCGCTCCTCCCCCGGGGCCAGAGGCACCCAAGGGGGGGGAGCAACCCAGCTGCCTGATGAGGTCCTGGGAGTAACCCAACCTGTCGTACAAGGCCCCCGCCGCCTCCTGCGGGACCTGCTCGACCCAGTCGTGGACCACGTTGCAGCGCCAGTTGACTTTCACCTCCGCCATCGAAGACTTGCTCAGGCCCGCCACCAACTTGGTGTAGACCGAGTCGAAGGCCTTCAGCGATGACAGCGGAAGGGTGATCCGCTCGTCGCAGACCGCCCTGAAACGAAGCGCCTCCTTGCTGTGGCCACTGGGATCTCCATCACAGGCAACGGGCAGTTGACGATGAAATTCTTGGCCGCCAAAAACGTCCCCATCTCCTTGAAGATGTAGCTCCATTCCGCCTTGCTGCGCGGCTTGGGGATGCCCAGGCTCTCCAGGAAGGGCACCGCCTCCTTCCTCATCTGGAGGATGTTGCCCATCCACTTGTCCGAGGTCGAGCCCTCCGCATTGCGGCCCCGGCGTTGCGTCTTCACGATCAACCGGAAAGTGGTCCAGGCCGAGTAGATGTACTTGAAAGTGAACCTGTGGGCGTACACCCCCGTCAGGCTCGGCAGGTCCCACGTTCTCGTCTGCCTGGTCCAAAACACCCCATCACCTTTCGCCCAGAAGATCCCCACCACCTGTTCCGGCGCCGGGCGCTCGCCCCGGTTCACCTGCGCTCGGATCTCCAAGGCCGTGTAGATGACTGGGTCGATGTGGTCCCGCTCGCACGTGAGTGGGTGAGTCCTGCGCTCCAGGGCCATGAGCTCAGCTTGAACTGCTGGTCCGCGCCCTTGGGGATCTCGCCGCTGGTGTGCTTCTTCCAGATCCCCCCAAACATCCGGAGCTCTCCCTGGTGCCTCTTCATCGCCCAGAGGAGCAGGGACAGCTTGCCCTCCTCCGAGTCCAGGTCCGGCTGTGACGTCGGCTGGTCCCCCCCCGGCCAGTGGCACCCTTAGAGGGGGCCGGTGCCACCAGATCGGGCATCTCCTCCAGCAGCGCCTCCTGGTGCCATGGGTTCTGTGACTCTCTGAGCCTCCTGATGTAGGGGACGGGGTCATCCAGCTCCAGGGGGCAGAATGGCCCCCTCTCCAGGGGCCTGAGATCATCCGGCCACACCGACACTTCCAAGGGCTTGAGAGTGTGGTTGAGCATCCATGCCTGGTTGGTGTCCTGAGTGCGCTTGTTCGCCGCCTGAGCCTCCTCAATGGAGCCCATCGCCTCCGCCAGTGCCTGGCTGGCGTCTACGCCCTTCCCCTCCAGGTGCTGGTCGCGCAGCTTGGCCTTAAATCGCTCCAGGTTGACCTTCCTGAGGGCACGGGCTCCCTCATTGGCCACCTCCTCTGACGGCAGGGTCTGCATGCCCTCCTGGAGCGGCGCCAGGATAGCCATCTCGTTGTCCAGCATCTCCTCCGTGACCAACTCCTTGTGCCGCCGCCTGGCCGAGGACTCCTCCGGGGTCGGTTCCCGATGCTCCCTCAAGGCCTTATGCAGCTCCTCCTTCTTCCGGATCGCCTGATCTACCTGGGGGTGGTAGAGCTGGAAGCTCTGAGCCTCCGCCTCCTTCAGGGACCGCTGCACTTTGACCTTGATCTCCTGGCGTTCCCGGACCTTCAACGCCTCGTCGTCGGGTTGCATGGACAGGATCTCCTGCCGGATGTCCACCCGCCTGTTGAGCGGGACCACGTCTGCCATGGTGATCTCCTCTGCCGTGTCCGTTTTAGGAGGAGCTCGCCCCAGGACCGTGCCGTCCACCAGGTTGCGGTCTGCCTGTGCCCGGGTACCACCGGGGCCAGCGGCACCCAGGCTTCCCCCTTCCCGCTGGATCCAGGTCGGCTTGCCCTCCACGATGAGCAGGTTGTAGATGATGCCGTCCGCCTCATAGGTGGCCGAGGGAGCCTGGAAGGGGACAAATTCTTTGCCTGGGCAGACCCAGCACTGCTTGGCTGCCTCTGGCCACCCCGTGCCGCATGCCTTGCACATGAACTTGTAATCGGAATGGCCTGCATCGAGCCTGTGCATTCGCTGGGTGCCAATGCACGCCTTGTTCCGCTGGAACTGCGAGGCCCAGACCTGCTCCTGCCGGATCTGGATCTTCATCGGGATTCTTACCGACAAACTTGTGGAACAGGGAGACCGCCTCCTCCACCGTGACGTCCCTCAACAACGTGGCCGCCGATGCCGGAAGGACCGGGAAGAGGTCTGGGAGGTCCACCAGCTTGAAGTAACCGGGTCGGCCCTCCACCGGCACCAAGGAGACCGGTTTGTTCACATGAGCCGTGGTCTTCTGGGAAGCCGCCACGAAACCCCTCAGCCTCTTCGTGGGTGGTGTCTGTGCCTCCTCCGGTGGCGTGGCACGCTCCGTGACGTCCGCATCTTCCATGTCCTTGTCCTCCTCCTCGGCGGGGCCAGGGGCACCCAAGCCGGAAGTCGGTGTGGCAAACGCCACACGGAGACGCTCCAGTGCACTGGAGAGGTCCTTCATCACATCAGTAGCCGAAGCCGACGGGGGGGCCTCGGGCTCGTCCAAAACCAGGCCGGCCGCCACTGCCGCCTCGCGTGTGCGAATTTCCTGGGCCTCCTGGCTGGCCATTTCAACCTCCTCCACGGTGAGCGTCTGGTCCTCAATCAGCTCAAAGGATGTGGCCGAGGTTGCCGAGGAAGCCATTGCTGGTTCGGGGTTAGTTCGAAAGTGTTCAAACTCAATTTTTTTCACACAAATTGGGTTCAAAGAATGCAGGGCAAAGCTTGAGCCAAAATGGCAAACGCCATTTTGGTCAAGCATTTCAAACACAGTTCATGTTTCCACATGCGTTTCAACATTAACAAAGACTCGACCGGACAGACCATTGCCCAGGGCACATGGCAACCACGAAGTAACTAAGAAACCACTGGGGGTCATTTGCAGGGGAGTCGAGGTGGTTCGGCTATAATAATAGTGGGAATTGACAAGGGCTAGGGACGATTATAGCATGGTCCTAGTTCCAAGCGAAAAAAAGGGATGGTCCTTGGAGTGGCTAGGGCAATTTCCAGAAACATGCAGGTTTCAACAGTTGGGGTTGAGGCGTGAAATAGAAGATAAACAAACCCTAAATGGAGGCAAAGGAAACCACACCTATTTGAATCCGAAACGGATTCTTAACCATCTTTCGGGAATTTTATGTTTCCTTTTCAAGGAAGCCCTCCAACTTTCTGCAAATGGGACTTGCCGAGTAGAATCCGACGCCCCAAACCAATGTTGTACCCCCAGCAACTTGGACCAATGGCTTCTTGGACCGCGCTGCGGGTTTTGGGTGAAAGCCTTGGGCTTGCCTGGCACCCACTCGGGCAGCTCGCAGGCCCCCGCGGCGATCCGCCGGCGGCCGCTGCGGGCGATCCCCGCGCATCCTCCGAATCCAGGGAATAAGCTCACTTACTCAGTGGATCGCAGGAGATTAGCAAAAAACGTCCGTCTTCCAGCACCCAAGTTTTCTTGTTTTCCGATGTCTGCAAGTCTGGAACACAGTAATTGGGGTGCTGGTTGTATAAATAAATATATATATATATATGTTTGTATTCGATATGTAAATGGGCAGTACGCTTTCATTGAGGGCACCTCTGTTTTGGCGGGTTCACTCTGGAACGACGACCAGCTTCTTTTAATTTGCATCGAACAATTCGAAATCTCTGACTGACTTCCCCAGTTTCTGGACTTTCAAATTTTGAGGGTTCTGGGTCGCCCCCCCCCCCCCCCAATGGCACACCCACCCCACCCCGACGAGACATGTCGACGATCCTGCCGCCAGTGCAGCGCGGCGCCAGGTGCTGGCAGGCGCCCGGACGTGGCTTCGGGCGTGCTGGGCTCCGCCCAAAGGCGCCGGCTTCAGAAGCTCCACTTCTGAAGGTGCCTTAGGGATACCAAATCGGGCTTGTCTCCAAGGAGGGCCGCTGAAAAGTAATTATTCCCCAAAAAGGAGTGGCTTCCCTTGGTGTTCCATTCAAATAACCCTGGTGAGGGCAAACTTCTGGGCTGGTGGCCAATAACCTTCATAGCAACCGTCATGGCGATCTTAGGTACTCACCATCCCTGTCAAACGCAAGTAAAGGAATCGGTCTTTTGACCATAGCGCACGGATAGTGCAACTGCAAGAATAAAAATTGCCGATTTGCTTCCAACAACCCCGGAAGAGGTACCCTCCAGAAAAGACACGACCAATATAAAGCAAGTGCAGGAACAAGACAACACGGCGGAACACGGCAATTTGCCGCTTGCGGAGTTTCGTTGTGGATTGCCTGGGACGCTCCACGCGGGTGTACACAACCTACACTCAGCTGTCCTTTACTTTTATCACAGCTTCCCCTTTAGGATCCCGAAACACGACTTCTTGGAAAACCAAAAGTAAACCAAAACTGGGATCTGTGTGTTGGGGGCTGGTGGGGGGGGGGCTGATGTGAAAGAAGCAGTCACAACAGCTCCTCGCCCTACCTCATGTTTGGGGATCTTCCAAGCCTGCGAGCTGCAAGGTAGAAGACGACGGTTGTTTAAGAAAACCATGTTCCTACTTTGCAGCGGAACCCACACAAAGAGCCACGGCCATCCTAGACCCGTGAGGCTTGGGCTCACATCCGCAGAGCATGATGCCAGCACATGATCCCATTTTCCAAGAGCACATGTTCCATGTCCAAGTGCTTTGTGTGGGACGATTCACAGAAATGTCTGTGTGTGTGTGTGTCTGTGTGTGTGTTAGGTGTCATCCAGATCCTGAAGGTGGTCTTGCCCAAATTTGCCAAAGCTGCCAGCGACACTGCCGTGCGTTGCGCCAATCCTTGGCGGTCATGGCTAGCGAGGTTGATAACCATCCCAACCAACCCCAAGTAGAACACACCCACACACCGACTGCACACTGCCACATTGATTCTTCTGAGCGCACTGAAACGTCTTCGCATTCCAAGGAAACAGGTCTGTTTGACCATGGCAAATCTATGTAAATAAATGTTTTGCCTCGGCCAATCCAAGCCACCCTGAATGGTTGCTTCCCTTTAATACCTCGGCTTCTCATCCTTAAGCCCAGGCTCCCGTGGCCACATGGCCAGCTGCTCCAGCCACCAACATCGCGGCCGGATCGGATCGGAACAGCTCGAGCCGCGAAACGCCTTTCTCACTTCATGAGTTGGCCAAACAAGTCTCGGATTTGCGAGTTCTTCCCAAAATGATTGACTTCCACAAGCGGGGGCAGTGAGAGCAGATCCAAATGCGGCTCAAACGAAAGGAAGGCCCCGTTTGTTGGCATCGCTCTGGGTCTTGATTTGCAGGTTCTAGGCTTTGATACTCTCTGATGTGTCAGCTGGATTCGGACACTTGGATATCCAGGGTGGCTGGGTTGCCCGAAATGGAATTCTAGTCAACTCGCTCTCAGCCAAAAGTCCTCAAAGAAGGGAAAACAGTGTTTTTCATAAGGAGTTGTGGTTGTTTGCCAGAAAGCCCACTCAATATAAGCTTCACCTTTGGAAACCTTACCTAAGAGCCAAGGTCAAAAGGTGAAGTTGCATCGAGAAATCCAGCAATTCCAAGAGGCAGGCTGGGGACCTGCAAAGAGGTTCAAGCCTTGATTGCCTTTGTAGCCTTATCTCATACCTTGGGATAAAAACAAAGCAAAGTCGACTCTACCTGACTGTCATTTTCAAGGGTCGAAGTGAAACGAAGGTCTGAGGCTGCTGCAAAGCCACCTGCGCGATGTACTTATCCTCATGGCCCGCTTCTCAGGCCATGCTGCCTTTTGAGGGGTCTGTCCCGGTTTTGGTCGCATTGGGTTTTGGCGGCAGTGCAACCTATCCAAACAGAAACACGCCTAAGCAGTTCTAATTGCAACCACCCTACCTTTCTTTCCTCTTCCCTCTCAAGATGCAACCCCAACATGGCATATCCGGGGGGTCCCAAGCAGGGTCGCAGGGTCGGGAAACGGCCAAACCAAAGTCGCCAAAACAATGCCTAACCACGTGAATCGCCGCCAAGGGCATCGACCAAAAACGAGCAGCCAACAGCTGAGCTGCCCGCGGCGAAGACATGGATCGGCAGGCCCCCACCCACGCTGCCTAGCGTGGAAGCTGCCTTTGGGGATCTTGGCTTTTGTTTGCGCCAAACTTAGACCCCTGCGACAAGTGCTGCTTTTGCTGCTTAAAGAGCTCAAACGTAGGCAACAGGCGGCAACAAAAACTCTCTCGCCAGCAAAGTGCAAAATGCCCAGCCTAGAAGCGCAGAGACGCTCTTGAAGACGGTCAAAAGGTGAACTGTTCAAGGGCAAACCAAGTAGCTGTCCAAAACATCCCCAGCCCCCCCGCACCGTTCCCAGGTGAAACGAGCCAACGGCTCAACGACTCCAAGCGCCGCGCCGCACTCCGTCGCTGCGTTCCGACACTCCCGGCCTGGGCTCAAGGCATGCCCGTCCGATTAATTGGGGGATCACCCCTCCAAAAGTGGCGCCCCCCACTAAAAGGGGACACCCCCAATTTATCAACCAACATATAATCCCGAATTCCCATGATATCTTTTGACTACGTGCCCCTGGTATCTACCTGTAGGTCGGGTATATAAGGGGTGCATCAGGCATATTTCAGGGGAACCTAGTCCATGCCGCTCGCCAAAAGTCCCACGCATTGAGGCCTTTTGCCTCAATTGGCCTTCAGGCTTCATGGGCCCAAACCGGACTTTCAAGGTCTGTAGGATCAATGTTTTTTTTGCTGGCGCCAAAGGTAACGTCAGTGTGTTTAACCAGAATTAGGCTCACAGCCAAGGAGTAAAACGCCATGGCCCACCGCAGCAACTCGCGAGTTAGTGGATGGTCAAACACGGGATCAAATTGTCAAAGGTCTTGACGGGCGGGAATTGGCCCTATAGCATACTGCACTTTGTTCCCTTCGCCGCCAATCACGGAAACAACCCACATAGCGAGGAAGGACTCAACAACGAAGAATACCAACACACAACAACAAACAACCCCCAACATGAAATACCCGCATAAAACATAAGAAGAACCAAAAGTCACAATGATCAGAAACAACAAGACAAATTAAACGAGAACAAGAAGAAGAAGAAGAAGAAGAAGAAGGAACAACAAAGCATAACCAAGCAGAACAAGGACTAAGATAAATAAGTAAGAACCACAGAACCAAGCAAGAAAACAATAATGGAGCAAGAAAGGACACAGCAACCAACTTCCTCGCTTCGGCGCCAGGCGCACGCTGCGCTGCATCTCTGCCTCGAGGTTCTGGAGCCATTCCTCGAGGGTCTCCAAAAAGAACCCCCGGCCTCCCAACCGTAAACCCTAAAACTCCCAAGTCCCAAACCCCAAGCCCTAAAACTCCCAAACCCTGAACCCCGAAAACGGCTCCCCGTGGTTTGCCTTTGCCAACCAAAAGGGGGACCGAAATGCACTTTGAGAAGCACTCCAAGGATAGGGAAGCGCCTCCAAAGTGAAGCACGTGACTCCCACTCCTCACCATAATGTCTAAAGGGTCTCCTGTTGACAATCACACTCAAATGAGGGCTTTCTAGGTCGCTTCGTGGGTGGATTGGTCATAAAACGTTCAAACTGAGCGTTTTACCGCTGAGTCGGTCCTCTCGAAAAGTGTAAAGCCCAAGTATTTCAGGAAGAAAGCTGGAGCCTTTCAGCTGGGTCCAGCGAAGTAGAGCTCAATCAGCTTAAGTGGGTCCGCTAAAGTAGAGCTATACGGAGCCTGTGTCAGGCGAGTACATTTGGGAGCATGAATGCAAACATGGCCAGAACATATCATGACCTACGCAAACAAAGCATCATGAAACAACCAATTTAATATGTGGCAGGCCCGACAAATCACATGTTCGTACAAGAAAAGGCGGATCCAAGGTGACATGCCCGAAACTATTCTCATGGTGGCCCACCGCGAATCAGTCTTTTTCTCGGCAGGAAACTCAGCAATCGAATTCCTCCCCTCCCACAAATACTATGTTGAAGGGAGAAGCCTACCACCACTCCCCCAGGAAAATTGGAGCTGAAAAATCCTTCAGTCCTTAATTGAGTCAAAGGCCAAATGAGGCTAAATGCGGGTCAAACATTTGTCAAATGAGATTGGGGGAGGGGTTCGGACCGAAGGAGGGTGGCTTGCGGGCTCAGTCCTCGATGTTCCCCTGCGCCATGACCGGGGTCTGCAGCATGACCTTCTCTTCCGCATTGCCAGCCACGCCTGCGCAAAGAACCCCGCGACTGGAAAACCCCGTTCCGGGGATTTTGGATATGAGGCTCACTTCCTGAGCGGACTGGCCCAAATAGGTGTTGACCTATCTTGATTGATGGGTTCGTGGCAGGGTGTATGGCGTTAGCTGCTAGGGAGCAATTACTGTTATCGCTTCCAAGTGACAAAATATAATAGTCGGTGCATGTCGGTGCTGGATCTTCCTATTCATCTGCTGGTAAAGAGATCGCTTGAAAAGAGGTTATTGCAGTAAAACATCTTTCATTGAAAAGAAGAACAAGTATCAAGGCCAGAACTCGAGGAAGTAAGGAGGGCTACAAGGAGCCCCAAGAAACCGCTACCACTGGTGGCAGGTTAATTGAAGCTTGCCCTTTAGGCTTGGTTCCCCCTTGCCACACATTCTGAGAGGCGACAGAACGGCTCCCTCGATTTTGAAGTTCTCTTTGATTCTTCGGGGCACGCCGACAAAACCCGCTAGTTCAATCAATAGTTGCTATCCAACTGCCTTACAAATGAACCTGGAACCTCAAGGCCGTCCTCAAAACAATGTCCTTTTGGAAGACACCGTTTTGGCCCGCGTGCATTTGCATCATATGCTGGGAGGGCACCTGTTCATCTACCTAAGGCCAGAGCCGTCATGGGCCTCAAACGCCCCGTGAGCATTTGCTAGATTACAACTCCATGAGCCGGAGCCCCATTCCCTCCTCAGAGACGTGCCCAACTCCCGGTTGAAGGTGATGTCGATCCATCACGATGTGGCTTGTTTTGAAAGCAAATGTCCCAACCCCATTCTGATTGTCTGGGACATTGTTGTTCAGTCTGCCCTTCTGTAAGGTGGAATCCAAACCGCCTATATCTTCAAGGTTGTTCCCATTAACGATTGTTATAGCTCCAACTCTTGTTGCGTCGCTCTCTCGAACCTGATCTGAAGACTATGAAGCAGTGGGACGTCGTGTTACTACTTCATTTGGTAACAGTCAAGCATATGTTCGGGAGATCCCCCCCAAATCAACAGGAGCCCCAAACAGAGGGCCCTTTTCCCCAAATCGAGTTCCCCAAAGGTGGCTCCTTCTATTGAAATAACAGAGGTGTCTCCCTGCCCCATCTGCCCTGAACGGGTTATTTTTGAGGGTGGGTACTTCAGGGGACCATGGCTTCGGGTTTCCTTTTGGTCTTCCTTTGAAAGTTCAACCCGAGAGCACAAGAAAAAATAACAACAACAATAACAATAATGACACACCCGCGGTACACCTTTGTTGGAATTCTGAGGTCCTTGCTTTTGATCTCCTTGATCTTCCGGCGGTCGAGCTTATCAAACCTCCAGCTCAACCCATTGAGCCCTCTGTCTCGCTTCCCTTTTGGCATTGGGCGCCCCTTACAAAACCAAATTGGACCCAATGGCATACCGGCATACCGGCATACCGGTGAGTGCCACTCACAAAAAGTTGCACCCTTCTACCCCTCATCTCTTCACCCTTTGCTTTCCCCTTCTCACTTCCCGAGTTTGGCCCGGAAAAAGGCTCCCAAACTTCTTGCTACGAAACCGGTCCAACACACAAAAACCCCAGAGTCCAAGAACTCGACCGACTTTACCACGGCTTCACGCCCAAAATTCGTTGTGGGCCGTGCCGATCGACTGGGGCCATCGGCGTTACACGGCTGATGGCGTCGAACAGCTTCTCGAAATCATCCTCGAAATGGGCGCGGGCGGGGCTCTCAAGCTATCTCCCCGGGCCGTCAAACTACCCATTAACCAAGGGAATCCACTGCAGAATGTTGGGGCAATAATCGCTATCCCATGTTTAAGGGAATTTGGCGGGTCCCGGCAAATGGACATTGGACAACGAGATATTGCCCCAAAGATTGTGGGGTTCCAAGAACTTTGGAGCCTCATCACCCCATAATGAGAATCCCTTTCATAGGGGGGCAGG